TCCCCGGGTTGTCCTTGCTCTGCTTCTGCTTCTGTGTATTTCTGGAACGTCACACTCCACTCAGAATCAAAAAGCCCAGAGCGCAAGGTAAAGGGCAGAGGGGGATCTGCAAGTAGAGAAGCTAATTCAATGAGAAGTTGCTCTGGGGATCTGCGCTATCGTTCACCGTAGTCAAGGTGACGAGAATTGTGCCGGGTAGTTGTCTGGCGGCGGGCTGTTCATACGTGGACATGACAAGGAACGGCTGCCTACCAGTTATTGCCTCGGTTTTATCTTCAGGGCAGCCCGTCCCATCTGAACTAGTAATAAGATTTCGGCTCCCGGATGTCATGTCCGAAGCGGCTATTAGCCCCATTGTCTGTGGTTCTCAAAGTCAAGGTGGTGCTGGGCATCTAGGGGGCCGTTCCCGCCTTGGGTCACCCTTAACCATCCTGGAACCTTGAACTTGCTCGCAGAGCTAGTCAATGAGTCTGCCTCTTTCAGGCTATCTTCATGCCGGGGCCGCTTGTATTGGATCCATGGAGCCTGCCGCCAGGTCTTCAGACCTAACGCAACTTGCTTTTCACGCCGTCGACGACTGCCCCTGGTGAGGAATGATGGAAATACGCAGGTTTTTTTTCCCACCCACCGGACATGTCAGTACCGGTGGTCCTGCAGGGTTATTGCATTGTTTCCAAAAGACAGAAACCGAGCCGGGAAAGACGAGTTGGATTTAAAAGTCGATGGGTCAGGATCCGAACTCCGCACTGCTCCAAACCACATCAGACCCGTTTTGAGGCGCCTTACATCATGTCTGTTCGTCGAATCAGGGATCATTCCGTCGTCTCCCGCATATTCCCATCGCGACTGAGTGCCGCCGAACGACTTGCCTTTGTCTAATTGCCCCAGTACCCTGGCGCACTGGCAGTGTACAGTAGCGAGAGAAGGAGGGGTGTGGGCTTTTGGGTGTGGAAGATGTTGCTTCTCCTGCCAGAAGAAGTTGAAGGGCTCAAGTTAGCCCTCTCTTCCATGCTTTAATCGGTCTATTCCCGTTTAATACCACGCTGTCGTTTTTCTCCACGAGCACAATAACGCACACTCGTCCAGATACATATTATTAAGGACAGTTGCGGGTTCTGTCGCCTGACCCCTTTCCCTGCAGTTGTTTCGCTCGATGAGAGGGAGCTCCATCTAGCCACGTCCCCTGCGGAACCCGCCTTACATGTACATATGTATACATACCATACGCAGGCTGCTGGCTTTAGTGCCGTTGTTTTCCACGGCGTCTTGTGGCATCTTTGTTCTTGGCCTCCAATGGTCTACTGGCCCCTGGTTTGTACTTGGTTGCTGCTGTTGTTATTGTAGGGAGTCTTGGTATTCCTCCACACCGTCTTGCTTACCACCGCCACACGTTCCAGGCTCACATCTTCATCGCACAAAATTCTGGGATCTGCTGTGCGGCTCGCCTCAAGTATCGTGCCTGTCCCTCTTCTGAGACCCAAGGGACGCAAATGCACAGTTCAACCACGGAACCAGTCAAAGACGAGGGCGGTACTTGCACATCTCTTCTCTAACCGCCTTTCCGTGACATGATCAACCCACTTGCTTAGTCGCAGATTTGCTGACCATACATTTCTGCAATTGGTCAATATTATGTTGTCGCGAGCCGGACAGGTGTGTGTTTGATACGGCCTATTGTTTGCGCGTGTGTCTTCTACAGTTGGCCGCATGTCTGTTTTGCCGCTTTTTTCTCATCTTGCGCCAGAACGTTGCGGACGAACCGGAAGAAAAGCATCGATACCAACTGTTTAGCCTCCCAGAGAGCTTTCTTCCTGTGATTTCACGTCTCTCTGGCTGGGGAACGCGTACGACATAATAGCGCAGCTTGTTGCTGATCGTGCCTCACTGCTCTCCCCCCCCGGCTTCATATCTGGGTCACAGCCATCAGAGACATCATTACCGTGGTTCATTGAGAACCACCCAGTCAACATGGCCAGCGAAGTCTCCAGTTGTCTGGATCTACCTTTTATGCAACCCCCGATTCACCATCACTCGGCACCAACGATACAGTATTTGGCCGGGGGCGAGCTTCCCATTGTTACGGAGGAAATACCGCAACAACAACAACAACAACAACAACAACAACAACATCAACAGCAGCAGCAGCAGCAGCAGCAACAGCAGCAACAACCACAAACAAAGTACTATGGTGACTCTGAGCGGCAACTGACTCTACGTCAAGCTCCAATGCATGCTCGAGTGGCTGTTGGAAAGGAAAAAGGTTTGTAGTCTGGTTTCCAACGTACCCGGAGACGATGTGCTGACGAAAGTCCCAAACAATAGACAGGAAGCCAATAGACCCTCCACCGATTGTTCAGCTTATAGACAAGCGAACTGATGGGAAAAGTGGCCTCTACGATAGTAAGGCATCATGCGCCGCGCTTTCTCAGCTTTTGACAAAAGAATGCTGGTATTAACATTGCCAACAGGCCCGTACCTGTTCATGACCTCATCTCTACTGCCAGAAAACTATGATGAGCATGCAAAAGAACCAGAGTTGCCTTCAAACTATTTAGTTGGATCTCTCGCATCATCTATTCATCGACTACGGGATACAGACAACATGGAGGGAGGATTCTTCGTGTTTGGGGACCTGTCTGTTAAGCAAGAAGGGCGGTACCGGTTGCGATTCACCTTATACGAAAGAGACCAAACCCATCCGACTCCGAGTTTCTGCTTCGTTGGAGAACTAATCACCAACGTGTTTACCGTTTTCCCAGCCAAGTTATTCCCCGGCATGACCGATTCGACTGCTCTGACGCGAACTTTTAGCGATCAAGGGGTAAAGGTTAGGCTTCGAAAAGACTCCAGTACTATGGCTGCACGTAAGCGAAGCAGACAAGCGAACGAATCGAGCACCACCACCAACTCGCTTCTTGACCGCCAGCCAAAGCGTCCATCTTATGATCGAGAAATGCCCTCGCTGAGCAACTACTCTTTATCTGACCTGGGACACATGGACTCAATAACAGGGAGTTCGAGTTTAGTCACCACGGCGTCACATAATACAAACATGTTCTCCGTATCTGGACCTCTGCCAACTTCAAGAGGGTCAGGTTTGGATTTACATATACCGACGAGCGGCTACTATTTCGGTGGTCCTCAGTACTATTAATGATGTGATGGGTTTGCCCCATCGGACGACTAAGTTTCGCGGAAGAAGAAGACCGCGGCATGATGAATGGGGCGAACAACCAAGTGAACAATTGCACACCTGCAAAAAGGTGCACTACTCTTCTTTCAGGGAGAATTGCGTTTCGACTTGTTCAATCCATGTGTCTAAATATCCGACGGCTACTTCGCCATTTCAAGCTGATAGGTTGAGATCTTTATGAGCTTTGAGGCTTTGGTACTGGTTCTCTCAACATTAGCGTCGAGATTGTGTCAGAAGGGCCCCCCCATTTACTCAGGTCAACTACCAACTTGCCAACCTCCCGCCACCCGTGTCTCTCGTACAGGGCATAACCCTCCTCTGAGGACTCGAGATAGGCAGGCAATCCGAGACGATCGGCTTCCGTGGTGCCCCATTTGAGCAGCAGAGACCCGGCTCCCCGTCTTTGATGTTTGGGGTCTGTATGCAAAAGCTTTAGGTCTAGGAAACAGAGAGAGTTAGCAACATGTGCTACATCTGGGCTGAGAAATGCCCAATATTCTTACAAACATGAGGCTTGCTAGCCATCCTCTGAATCCACTCCCGCCTCATGCCGCCGAAGAAAAGCTCACAGGCATCTGGATTTGTACCCGGCCCCCACTGTCGAGTAGGAGGTAAGGTGTCCCTGGGCGTTTCCCAGATATACCACTTGGAAAAAGCAATCATACCATCATGTCCTTCAGCTTCAAGCTCCGTGTCTACTACCTTGGCCCAGCGACAGGCAGGGTCTTCTTCAAGCTGGTGTATTAGCATCTTTACACGCGAATCATCTCCGCCGGGTGGGAATGGCCCGGGAAACAAAGCGGCGCTATAAGGGTTTGGGCCATATGCGAGGTTTTCTATCGCCACGGCACGGGCAGCATCCTCTGCACTCGCAGCAACTACTTTGAGAGGCATTGGTGTAGGCCACCGAGCGTGCGAGACTATATACGACGAAGTAGGACTGGGAGAGGTTGGGACAGAAAAGATCAAGAGAAGTTTCAGGGGAAAGAGTGAAGAGTATCAGAGTAAAGTAGTCTTCAACCGCCGCTTTTATATGTGTCTAGGTTCACATTCAATCTTCTAGCTCCCTTTTTTGAAAGTGGGACCGGATACTTCTCGTCTTCGGCGAGCCTGTTTGGGTAGTTGGTCTGACATGGAGCCGGAAGCAGTACCACAAGAACACTCGAGACATCTCGGCGCACGAAGCAGGAGAGGGATTCTACGTATATATGCGCTTGCGGGGTGGCTGTATAATTCAGTAATCATGGAGTCTATATCTGGATAAGGGGCGACATTTTGCCTAATTGCAACAGGTCTGGGGTTGCTCAGGCCTGCTCCAACCGGTGGCGCGGATTAATATGAGCGAGGACAGGACAAGCTTGGGGTTTAGCCGTTTGAAGACTGGCCCATCTATGCTATAATTTGTAAATATTGTTTCATCCGTCAATTATGACTTTGTAGAGGTTTTGTGTAGACCTCGACTTGACCCTCTCACGAACATGCTTCTACCACTTAGTCGCCGACGGGTATTTAAGGTGCGGGCGGAAACACGCAGTCCCCAGTCTTTCCTTACATAAGCAAGAAGCCAAGAATAGTGGATCCCGCTTCCCCGAGTGTCATCCTCAGAAGATGGATGCCGACAATCTCCAAAACAATTCTCTTCCAGCACAGAATCCTCCACCTACCCGCCTCACCTCTCGAGCGGCACCCAGCAATTGCCATAGGAAGCAGCTGCTCAGCCTTCTTCCTCTGCGGGCATACTCGACCATCTACCTTGAATTCGCAACAAATCGCATCTCACAGCTCGGCATTTACTCTATCGGACACCATGGACCACGGACGCGATCCCTGCCCCTGGGTCATCTTTAATGACTTTGGCGGTGCTTTCTGCATGGGTGTAGGCTTCCCCCGATGAATTTCGTTTGTCAACTCGATTTTTCTTCTTCTTTGCAAAGATTGACTTTGCTCTGCGTGTAATCGGCTTGGGGCTAATTTAAATCCTGGACCTTCAGGCCATCGGAGGTACCATTTGGCATGGTGTCAAAGGTTTCCGCAATTCTCCTTACGGCGAACGACGTATCGGCGCCATCACCGCCATAAAGATGCGCGCACCTGTTCTTGGCGGTAACTTTGGTGTCTGGGGCGGCCTCTTTTCGACCTACGACTGCGCCATCAAGGGCATTCGCAAGAAGGAGGACCCGTACAACGCCATTATTGCTGGTTTCTTTGTCGGTGGCTCTCTTGCTTTTCGCGGCGGTTTCAAGGCAGCTCGCAACAATGCCATTGGCTGTGCAGTCCTGCTTGCTGTCATTGAGGGTGTTGGCATTGCCTTTTCCAAGATGTTGTCGGGTGGAACGAAACTGGAGATGCCGCAGCCCCCGCCTAGCATGGAGAACGCAAGCTTGTAATGAGCCATGATGCGAGACGAAAGGAAATTAAAAACAACTACGACTTTCAAGAGCACTGCGGGCGCGATGAGAGTTCTTGGAACATCCCGGGGATGGGGGGGTTTGATGACTGGTAGTCCTTGGGAATTATCGGTTTACGATGACACGCGCCACTCTCAACTCTAATCTGCGACATGTTTTCCTCAATATTTTGGTTTAAATTAGGGATTCCCTCTACAACGGTTTCATTTGGCTTGCTTAGCGAACAGACAATGGCGGGCCCGGATGGTTGAAACTGAACACAAGCGGTCTTGTTCGGTGGTCTCTCGTTGCAGCAAGGGTCATGAATTAGGATTTGAAACGAAAACTTCGGGAGAGTTACGCATAATGCTATCTGACAACCGAATGTTTGGCTGGTTGTAGGTGGTGGAGGCTGATATGTATTCGCATCACATCGGCGTTCCAGTGTACACTATTCGGGAATGGGAACAACCATTGACTACAAGAACAGAAAAGATACAAGAAACATTTCTTCAGATAAAATCGGAATCAGCCAACAGGCATGCGAGGCCAAAGAAGAGTGGACACGATGATGACTTTGAAATGCCCTCTGGCATAAATGTATGTCAATCGATCCAACTTGACGGCTCGAGTTGAATGATTCTATATACATGGCGCCAGCGCTTGTGCCACCAGCCTCTTACACGTCTATATCACAATAAAACATGATGAGTCAATCATACCCGGTTCTCAGGATCCTCACCGACGTTGCTCCAAATGCTCATCCTGGCCCTCCCTTGGTCATCAACCCAAGCGCGATACATTCCCCCGCAGTTGTAGTCCATGACAATCTCTGAACGGACGCGCACAACCTGGCCACTCTTTGCATCCCTCTCCACGATGCTCTCAATCCCAATCATGCCTCCCTCACCTTCGCCGGTACGTCCCCATCTGTCGCCGGCGCTGCGCTGCAACTCCCCACCAGGACCAACGACATTTGTCAAGGCCCTGGCTGTGCTCTCAGGCTTCCATCTCGCCATGGCGGCAACGGTTCGAGCGGCGCTGATGCGCAGGAACGAGTCGCCGTTCCCGGTGCCCGACGCACCCATGGCCCGAGAGACGACCGTCTCTCCATGCGGCTCGCGGAGGGGCGAGTAGAAGAAGGGCGTAGGGAAGCAATCTGCCAACAGCCCCTTCAAAGGCCCTGCGAGCGAAATACCGGGCGACGCAGCCCTCACGGCGGCCGTGAGCCTCTCCCATGCCGAAGGCCCGGCAGCACCGCTCTCCTCCCACTCCTCGGCCCAGAAGCCGGCTCCCACAACGGGCGTGTCGCCGATCCTCCCCGTCAACTTGTTGGTCATGCCGCCGGTGCTCGTCGCCGCGCAGACGACGCCGTCCTCGTCGAGGGCAACGGCGCCACACGTGCCCTGCGGCAAATACTCGTCGGCAGACCACGTCCCCTGCCCGCGCCCCCGTCCCTCCCGCTCCAGCGCGCGGACGTGCTCGTCCCACCGCTGCTGCGTGAAGAAGTAGCTCGGGTCCACCATGTCGAGGCCGTATCTGCGCGCGAGCTGTTCCGCCGCGGGGCCCCAGATCTGCGTGTGCCCCTGGGCAGAAGGAACGTCGAGGCGGTGGCCCGCGACGGCGGCGGCGCACGGCGCCTGGCCCCGCGGCGCGAGATCCTGGTCGCCGTGCTCGAGGACCCCCCTGGCGAGCAGGACGGGGTTGCGGACGTGGCGGAGGCCCATGACGCCGACGCCGCGCTTCTCGCGGCCGCGGGACACCATGACGGACGCCTCCAGCTCGTTGACGCCGTCGCGGGTGAAGACGGCGCCGTGCCCGCTGTTGAAGAGCGGGTTGTCCTCGAGGAGGCGGACTGCGTAGCAAGCAATGTCCAGGGCTGATGGCTTCTGGGACGACTTGACGGGTGTGGTTATGTACTGATTGGTCTTGGTGATCTGCATTTTTGTTTTTCACTTGGCGGGTTAGAAAGGGGTGTATGAAGGGCCCAGGCACGGGGGGGAATGTGGCGAGGAGTCAACAGACTATGGCGAGGAGCGCATCTCGATACGCATTGTATTTGTCCTGCGGGAAGTTGGCGCGCACAATGTTGCCTGCGCCGCCGTGGATGACGATGCGAGGCTGCGTCTTGCGTGTCTCGGACGGCGGGGGCTGCTTTTCGTACTGCATTTGCATTGCTGCGGGACAATGATATGCTGGGGCTGGGAAAAAAAAAAGAGAAACAAACTCTTATAAACGCTCAAACGCTCAAACGCTCTAAGATGTAAGATGCTCCTGTTGAACAGGAGAGGGGAGAGGAGGTGAGGGCGTGGGATGGTGAAGATGGGAGACGGTTATATCATAAGGACGCAGTCAAAGCGGTCGGGTGTGGATCCCTGAAATGCGGAGTTGCCTGTGCCGCGGACGGGCGGCACGGCGGTTGGCGACCTACCAGTTCGGGAAGGTTGGAGGGAAGCGACACGTGAAGGCGGCGGGTGTGCCCATGTCGTACCGACTTGTACACATACACATGTGTATATTTATTCCCCCCTGATGCGACAGCATGACTACGAGGATGGTGTGCAAGACAGACATGCTGCCGAGGACGCCACAAACGCATGTACAAGCGGAGGCAAGTAATCAAATGCTCCCAAGACTACACTCGCGAGTCGTCATGTACGTGCATACATGGAGACGTGGGCAAACACCAAGACGGGGTCAATAAATGTATAAAATTACCATATAAAAAAAGAGGGGGTAAAAGAAGGAAAAAGAAAAAAAAAAGGCATCATCCCATCTCACGCTTCTCTCCTCCTACGCAAGCGAATACCCGTGCGGCACCACAAAGCGCGGAATCACAGGACTATCCAAGTCGCCGTCTCGCAGCGGCGTCTCTGAATCCCCCTCGGCAACCAGTGTCTGCGAGTCCAACAAGTCATGCGAGTCTGACGACAGGGCCATGCCGATGCCGCCCATCTCATCCCTAGGGCTCGGCTCGGACCCGAGCGACAAGTAGGTCAAGTGGCTCGAGGGCTCGAGACTCATGGCCAAACTGCCGGAACCAAATCCGTCGCCGCCGCCGCCGCCGCCGCCGCCGCCTATTTTCCTCGTCGGCCCAAAGGCCGGAATCGCCTGCAGCGTGCGGTGCTTTTCGCCCGCGTGCCCCAGCCACGAGATGGTGTCCTCGCGCAGGCCCGAGTTTCTCTGGCCCCGGCGTCTTCGCCAGGCAAAGAAGAACACGGCCGATATGATGCCGAGACAGAGTACAGCTATGGAGATGCCGATGCCGGCTTTGGCTCCCGCCGACAGTTGAGAGTCGTGTGAGTCTGTGTCTTGGTCGCTCGTGGGAGACGTTGTGCCCTTTGGCGAAGGGGGCGTTGTGCTGCGGCCGCCGTTGCTGCCACTGCCGGCGGCGACGACGACGCCGCCGCCGGTTGTGCTTGCGGTTGACGTATGGGGGGTGGAAGTTGCCACGACGAGTCCGGATATCTGTGATAGCAGAGAAGACGCCGTGTACGTGTTGAGAATCACCGTGGGAACGCCCGTCCAGGGGCCTGTAGAGGCTGCCGTCGGAGCAACGGGAGAGCCCGCAGACGCCGTGGACGATGTGCCCTCCGTCGCCGACGGGGATGGCGGAGATGGGCTTGAAGGGACAAGGCTCGAGCCGCCGACAGAGTCGATGCTGTTGACAGTCGGACTCGATCCCGCGGCGGCACCGCTGGTGCTCTCCTGCAGGGGCACGACTGGGCTTCCCGTGGGCGTCTTCATCTTTCTGCCGGAGCACTCGCCGCGGAGCTGTGCAACCACGTCGTCTGGGGCATATAGAATGTCAACAACTCCTCTGAGACAAAGTAGATAGGTAACCCGGCAAGATACGCACCAGCTTTCACATTCGGGCAGCCGTCCCGGAGACAGCCCCTCGACGCATCCGAAGTCACCAGATCAACGTTATCGCATAGGCAGTTCTTGTCCCTCCCCGGACAGGTATTCCCCGCGAGGCAGCCCAGCGCGCAGGGGTCATTCCATAAACCCGGTGCTGCGGCGAACATGGTTCCGTTCGAGGATGCCGCGGCGGCTGCGGCTGCGGCAAACAAGGCCGCATACGCAGGAATCATTCCCATCATTATCAATCGCATTGTCGGACCAAAAGACGAGACGAGGCGGAAAAAAAGAAAGAAAGAAAAAGAAAAACAGTACTACTAAAGGAGGGTGTTCAAAGGAGTGTGTGTCAAGCTATTGCCCGTGTATTCATGGCGTTGGCGCCAACCAACGCGTACGATTCCCAACGTCACAAGTTTGGCGTCGCACAAGATGACAACCCAAAGACGGCATCGTGAACAAAAAAAAAAAATCCGTGGCACAAGCAGGCCGGCATTCTTTCTTTCTTTCTTTCTTTCTTTCTTTCAGCACGCATCTAGTCACGGACGAGTCGCGCGCACTGACTTCATCTCCCCTCACCTGCGACGCCTCCCACCTCCCACCGCTGGCTAAAAAATGCCAATCCTACTCCAGTACGCCGTGCCTCGGTCCCCATCAGACCAGAGGACACAAACAAAGGCCATGGCATCACTGCATCGTGGGGGGCCACCCCGCCAACAACATTGAACCAGATGAAATCAAGTAAATTACATCACGGCCGTGCCTGGGCGGCCCTTGCTTTTTTTTCCCACGCGCCCATGAGGGAGGCGGGCGGATCAGAGGGCGGCATCGCCCACGAGGCACGGATGACGCTGCGATGTCCCTCGCCGGCTTGGGTTTAGACTGCCCATCGGCCGGTCCCAGCAATCTTGTCCTATTATTGGGATCACCACGGGGTTTGCCAGTGCCGCTGGCCATATCGGCCGGCGTGGCGAATCACCACTCGTCCTGCTCCTGAGCACGCACGTCATTCAGCTTGCCCGCCGTGCCGCACAGACAACAGACCGAGTGGCCATTATCACTGGGCGGTTCCAGAGTTTGACCTTGATTGTACAATGTAAGGTTGGTATTAGCCTTATCAATTCCACAACCTAATTAATGGCCCTGTGCTCTATGCTTCTGCCATAATACGTCTTGTATATAGTAGTACCGGGGTATATCCAAAACTGCCCTCATTCCCAGATGTGTCGTCCGTCATATTGCCCTCGAAAAATACTTCAAGTCCTATGCAACGCCGTATGAGTTTCAAAGCCTAGCCGCCTTTCATACCCAAAACTCCCCCAATGCTTGAAATGCCACCAAGTCTTCCTTGTTGGGGGACGCCCATTGCCCCGGCCAACTCATATCCAACAAAACCTGTTGTTACCATTCACTGGAGCTGCCAACCCCAGTCTCAAAGCTGAGTTTGAGAAAAACAAGGAAAAAGAAAAGAAAAAGAAGCATGACAAGGAAAAGTGCGTCAAGACACTACCAGCTGTTTAAGCCGGCACTGCAGCCAAACCGGCCGCAACTTTGACTGCCTTGTTCACGTCCCTCCGTCGAACACCAGGACTACGTCCCAAGCAAACCGATTTGTTCGATATTTCTATGTTTCTAATTAGCCTTTTGCATCAAACAAACCTGACAAGAATTGTATGCTCCTACCTTGGATCAGCAGGGACACGTTAAGTCCAATCTTGGACTTGACAGCCCAGGCCATGGGTTGCGACCACATCTGGCTAGGCCCAGAATGTAGTATAAAGTTGGCCATCCCATGGTCATAGTCGCCCGCTGCTTCGTTTCCGCCATCGTGTCCTCGCAGACCCATCACCGGCTGTTGAGCCACGTCTACAGCGACTTGAAGGCCTGAAACGTCCGACGACCCCGAGACAGGGCTGTTGCTGCTGTTGGTCCAGGTCCCGCTGTGACTGCTGCCCCCGTATCCGGAATCTGCAGTTGCAAATCCTGCTTGCTGTCCATTTGGCATCATGGCCGAGTCACTGCTGGCTCTCGCCGAAGACCCATCACGGTCCAGATCGCCAAGGTCGACATCGGCCTCCACGTACTCGGCGCGCTGGGGAATGAAGATGCCCAGTTGGCGCAAATATGTTTCCACCTCATCGGGGTCGAAAAACTCGCCTTCAAATCCAGGCCACATCATCCGCATCTTATGGTCAATTCGCTCGTCACGGGTTGCTTGCACCTCGGGGCTGAACGGTCCCATTGATTGACCCGTCATTTCCTGGGGTTTTCCATACGACCGTGTGCCTTGGTTGCCGATGCGCATGGCCATTGGGTCCCCGCCTGTCCCTTCGATCGACTGTTGTGGCGGGAAGAATGTACCGGCGCCGCCGAGGCTGGTGAATGGAAATCTCCAGTGGGAGAGGTCCTCATGTTGATTTCGGCTCAGGGAAAGCTGCAAACGCTGAATAATGGCCGCTTTCGACTCGAAAAACAAGCAAAACCCAAAGACGGCAGCAAACCTCTCTGGGGGCGGATTAGACATGGAGATGAGTCGCAGTCCATTTTCAGTTGTCTGGCGCTGCAGGCGACGACCAAACGTCAGTTCGTTGGAGGCGTAGGACAACGGCGGGGCCATCGAGGAGTAAGGCGAGTGGCCAGCAGGCAGGTTTGTATTGAAGCCGTCCTCGATACTGGGCTCCATCGAAGAATAGAACGGGAAAGTCGCATTATCCGGGGTCGCCGCCGTGACAACTTCGTAGCTGAGCGACGCAGGCACATGGATCACCGGCCCAGAGGTTGTAGCTACAGCGGTGCCGGGCACCCCAGGAGATCCAGTAGACGTCCCAAGAATGTTGGCTTGCTGTGATGTATCCAAGTGGAATCCATTGTTCGTCGGCATGGCAGTGACAGCAGATGTTGTAGCCTGCGCTGATTGTAGGTTTGGATGGTTTCCGTGATTAGAGACGGGATGCTCGTCACTGTCCTCCGAGCAGCTGCCCTCTCCAGGGTTGTTTCTTGCCTTATCGGCAACAGTGGAAATCCGGTTGGCAATAGCCGACAACTGTTGGGCAGCATGTGGCACGGCTTCAAGAGCACGCTCCGAGAGAATGATATCGTAAAAATCATTGAATCCTTTGCTCATATCGTCGTTGGCCTTTTCAAGTTCCTTGACACGCTGCTCCAATGTGGTAATGGTAGTATCTTTACGATGCCTGTATGCTCGTTGAGCGAGGCGAATCTGTGTACGACGACGCTGTAAATAGTTGGTTAGAATCAACCCGATATGCCCAGTGATATAATAGATGAAATATAACGGTAGCAGTCACCCAATAGTAAGGGGAATAGGGGACGGGAAAGGGGGGCGCGGGAGTGGCTCACGTCGGCTGCTGTTTCGTCTTTAGTATCTAGCCTGGGCCTGCCTCTGGATCTCTTCTTGCGTCCATCTTCTTCTGCTGTACTGGCATGTCCTGCCTTGACATCACTTTCATCTGAATTTCTTGCCCGTTTGCCAGTGACCGGCGGCGGACTAGTCACACTCTGGGCTGGGTTCGTTGTCATGGTCGACAGGGGCGACGTGTTGGAACTGTAGGCAGCGTTTATCTTGGGCACATTATTTGAATTGTTCATTGGAATATGATTGCAGCCAGCGCCAGTCGGGGAACGGTTGTCAAAAGGCAGCGATTCCGGGACGATTGGAGCAGCAGTCGCCATTTGGTTCCGGGTTTCCGGCCGCAGCCTCTGGGAGAGCAAAGGCGATACGCGCAAAGTCCGGCGCAGAACACGTTATTATTGTTTCAGCGAGGGCGTACACTGTGCCGTGATGGTATTGGCGAAATGGAAAAGAGTAACGGTTGATGGTTCCGAAACAAGCCGTCACTAAGCTGGCGTGAGCGCTGGAGGGAACGTCGCGGGTGTTGGCTTAGATAGCTGCCCGTTTGAAACGCCATGCATGAGTTGAATGAGAAACCACACGGTTGACAGACGAGTTCCTTGTTCGGGTCGAATGAAGGCAGCCTGAATGTGCGATGGCTAATGGTTAGAGTGGGGAGTGGCGGAGCGGACAAGGACAAGGCCAAGCAGCCGTACGGGTAAATATTCAAACTGTAGAGGCGATGGAAGTGGTTTGTTGGATGAAACGAGGATGACCCAGATAAGATGTAGAGATATACGAGCGACGTGAAGATGGACTTGGCAGCGGAAGGGGGGGGGCAGTTGAAGTAGAGAGCCGCCGGGATGGACGACAGCCCAGGCGGCCCACCAGCCGACCTAGACCTAACCTCGACCAGTTGAAGCTGCACCTGGAGTCCGTTCATGTCTCCATCTTGGTTCATGATTGCACCCCTTAACCCTTCAGATGCGTGTGCCCACCAAGGATGGCCAGCCTGGCCTGGAAGAAGCAATCAAGGCTCCGACATTGTGCGCCAGGTATGCCCCACGATAGGTGTGTTGGCCAGTAGAGCCGTCCATCGTCCTTCATCATGCTTCACCACCCAAGCCCAGCTAAGCTAAACTAAACTATTGCCAGATGAACTCGGAGTCGCCCTCGTTCCACTCGCGGCGCCACCAAGAAACAAGCCCTCTCTGTCTCTCTGGTGGGTATCCTTGTCGGTGTTGACGGCTTTAAGCTTTTCCCAATGGCGTTGGCAAGCAGCAAATAGCGAATGGCGACGCCATCCACACCAGACAGCGACAAGTACGTACGTATTGTGTAACGCACGAGCTAGCAGTGGACTCGGCAGCTAGAACTAGCCTGCGAGACCTTCAGAGATCGATCATGGAGCCCTTGTACCGATGACCTCCTGTCCTCCCCGCCATTTCGCCGTCAGTAACATGATCGGACGGCACGAATCTGAGCCTCGCGATGCGCTAGGCTTAGGAAGGGGCGCCAATACCACAGACTTGTACGGAGTAGTATTGTTTGTTTTTGCTGGCGGAGCTCGTCTCGTGATGCAACATCCATCCCATGCCATCCGCCTAGGGCTGTCAGTTCAGTCAACATGGGCGTTCCAACAAGGCATAAGAAGGCATCAAAGCGACATGCGAGGCCCCGGCAACGAATCGCTTCAGAAGAGATTACGGAGTACTCCGTACGATGAACATTGAAAAGTGTTAGTACATAGTACTACTAGTAGTACGGAGTGTTGGTTTCATCGCTGCAAGGCATTATCAGTAGTACGTAGTACTACTCGATACAGTCTTTCCTGTCCCAACGATCGAGAAAGACCCGCTGGCCCTGGCAGATACAATATGATTGTCTGTCGCACAGCTCGTCAAGACACCTTGGCAGAATTGGGCAAATGCAGGGATGCCTGGTTTGCTAGCTGCATAAGCTCCCCTGTCAAAAGCAATACCCGGACATGTTTTGCCAGGATAGCTTTCACGAGGAGGGCAGAGTTGTAAGTGTTATTCCATGTGTTGGACAACCACGCGTTTCCGCTCAAACTTTGCGGCCCAAGTCTGATGAAACAAAGACAGTCTCTCAGTGGTAGATTCCGTCTCTTGGAGTCACAGTTCAAACTGGCCTTGCTCACTAGGCTTCTAAAATTCCTTAATCGGCATGAATGACAAATACCACTAGCCCAACTTCTGAAGCTTTCCGGCCGGCACTTGCCATGATGTCTTGAAAATCCCGAGATGAATTCCTATCCCCCTTGTCCCTTTCTTTCCCTAGCCATGGCAATGGGAATTGGCAATCAATGGCGAAGAAATCTTGTCATAACATGCAGAAGCTATGATATGCTCGTCCACTTTCAGTTCGAGAAAGCACGCCGTCGCTTGTCCGCCAATCCTACAGTCCATCAGGCTAGTATACCGACGTTCTTCGGATGATATAGCGTCTAGAGACCTTCAAATGCCATGGCCCTCGTCCCATTGGTGGATCTTATATGGCCACGCATTGATAAAGAGGTCAACTGGTGGGCCGTTCTCGCCGCAACCACCACTCCCCACAAAGTTTCCTGGGCTTGCCGAGTGGCTGAGAGCCACGAGGAGAAGTTGGAGGGGGACCTTGGCAAGCTTGGGACCGTCTGAAAGACGGGCATTTGGCCTCCATCTCTGTGAAATCCCATTCCATACCAGACATGCGACATGGTTCCCGGCATTTGCCAGAGAAGCGACTTCAGATGACCCTATCCAATGTCAGGCAGCAGGCACCACAGGCTTCCCTTACCGGGTACCCATTGGTATCTCGCGTCCCAAGTTCAGGGCACATTGTGCAATACAGATAACAGTTCTCAGTCCATGTAGGATCACGTAGAACGACTCATCACCGTCCCAGAGGAGCGGGTCGCAAAGCTTTAGCCGCAACCGCCAGTTGTTTCCATCTGTCCTCTCTGCTCGAACTTCGGCAATAAAAACAAACCCGAGGAAGACCCAGGCCCTCTGAATTCCGCACAATGGATGTCGCGCCTCGCGCTCTAAGTTTCCCCGGGACATTTGCATCATGTCGCATTCAAGTTGGAGCCGTTGGTAACTTAGAGCCCTACGAAGTATCATCGTCAAGGGAGATCGATCGATCCCGCTTTCACCAATCGCCCTATACCTGATTTTGCGGAACGAGAGCGGAGCGAGAAGCAGGAGCCTCTTCGGCCGTTAATGTACAGCCGAAAATAGACAGCTTGTTGTAAAGAGGCAACTCTTGAGAGAAGCTGGGCAAGGGGTCGGCCTCATTGAATTGAACATTGACGGTTATGTGGTGTCTGTCGAAATATCAATTCTGATGTGTAGTTGTGTCTGCTCAGCCTCAACGCCTCTTGCTCCGCCTCGATTGAACGCCGGTTATTGGTAAATACCATGACATGCAGCCACTCAGCCTCACTTGTACCAAGGTAGGCCCGTTGTAGGGTAGGCCACTTTGACACCGACTTGGTGCTCCTCCTTTCCCCAGGCCAAGCCAACCTCCACAACCACAACACCAACACCAACCACAACCACCTCGAACCCGCCGATTAGTCTTGGGCTTGCGCAAAGGCTAACCGCTCCCCGCATTTCTTGACAGTGGCAGCGGGCCGCAGTGGACGACTGGATTGATTTGTTTTGGTTGCCAGGGAGCAGAATTATGGGTGATCGCGAAAATGGCTGGACAACGGTTGGCCATCGAATTCTGGGCCACGGCCATCAGCTTGGCACTGGCCGCGAATGGATGATGCAGCGAGAGTTGACCGACCTTGAAGCTATTGCTGCGTGGGACAGTGAGGCACAATGGCCCAGCATGTAAGAACGCCCTGCCGGAATTACGTCTCGATGCGAATCTTTGCGCCCAACTGACATGATTCCATGCGTAATATAGAAACAAGCCACTTTTCGATGGCCCCGAGGCCAAAAAGTTCGACAACAAACTGGTGAAGCTCCACGATTTGGATCAAGGCGCATTCGGCAGGGTTGACAAAGTTATGCATGGTTCAGTTTGCTTAGCAAGGAAGCGCATACCGAGGCGCCGAGGATTTTCCATTGACGACTTGCGCAAAGAAGGGCTGATGATGCGCAAGTTGGATCACCGCCATGTGGTCAAGTTGGTTGCGACGTACGCTCCGAGGTCCCACGAATTGTGCCTATTGATATGGCCGGCCGCTGTTTGCAACCTTGGTAGGTTGCTGGACGATGTGGAAAGCCTGCGCTTGAAGGAGGGAGACCGCGAGGACATTGTTGAACGCTTGACGGCTCTGGACCTCAGAGATTTGAGCGCAATTGATCCAATGGCCAAAGATCAATATTTAACCCCGATACCTGAGTCGTGCCCGTTTGACTTTTTGCGCACAATTATTGGCTGTGTGGCTCGCGCAATGGCGCATTGCCATGCGAACGACGTCCGGCATCTTGATATCAAGCCGTCCAACATTCTATTGCATCCAGGTCGAGTCTACTTGGCAGACTTTGGCATCTCTCGAGATGTCACTGGCCAGGAGCAAACAACAACAGATGGTATGCCCGGCACAGAACGGTGGCGAGCCCCTGAATTATACGGGGAACATGGCTCCAGCATGCAGCTGTCAGATATGTACTCACTTGGCCTAGTATACCTCAATATTGCGACCGTTTTATACGACGCAAGATTGGCAGATTTTGATGAAGCTCTAAGCTACTCAGGAAGATTATCCCGTGAAGAACAATTACGGCTCAGGGAGGACAAAGTCAAGATGCACCTAGATCGACTTACAGCCCATGCATTGGTCAGGCCACCATTTATGTTTACCTATGAAGGGCAAGAGACAGTGCGGCCACGACCACTAACACACCTGATATCCCGTATGGTGGCTACCAACCCCAGACACAGATTGACTGCTGCGAAAGTCGATGAGAAACTGTCTATGCTCGGTGGAATTAACCAAATTTACCACGCTGATTGCTGCAAGCGGCCCATATCCTGGGTTGAGGACAAGTGGGATAGGAAGTTTGCCGGCCTCATTGCCCTGCAGAAGGAAAATGAAGCACATCGCAAGAGGATTATGGAGCTGGAGGGCAAAGATCAGACGTACGAAACGAGACTGGAGAAACAACGGCAGAAACATGAACAAGACATTTCAAGATTACAAACACTGCTCAAGAACGCAGAGGAGAAATGTCAGAGGCTGGAATCCGAGATGACAGACCGTCGCAAGGTATCCCACAGCTCGCGAGGATCTCATGGCCATGATGTCCCGCGGCCAGTTTTATCGGGTGGGCGAAGGCAGCCAGCTGGTTCTGCAACGACTCAAGGTGTTGGACTCGGGTTGAACAGATCTAGTCTGACTACACCGAAAACCACGGTTGCTAAACCCCCTCCACAGCATATCCCCCAGCGCTCCCAGTCCATCTCAAGTACTCCTTCAGAGCGTCCCACACAGAAGATGCGAACCCTTCAAAGCAGCCCAGCCGTAACACAGTCATCAGATGCCAAATCCTTGGCCGGTCAGCGCTCGCCCAGCATCAGCGGTAACCTGGCAGGCTACGCTCTACGCTCGCGGGGATCAGGGTCCAAGCTCCCTTTGCCTGTCACACCGAGCCGGACCAACACGCCAGTATTCAACCGCGACCAGAGCATGACGGATAGTAGTATGGCTTCATCTGTGTTTTCTCGAAAGAGTCTCGAGACACTACCTACTCCACCGGCCCATGATAGCCCCATCATACAGCGTGCAGACGTGTCTAGTGAGAACGCGCAGCCTCAATGGGGCCAGCTTGGGGGCAGACGTGGCCCTCGCATAACTGATGAGACAGCCCTGAGGCCCTCCACACCTGACAGCCCGCTGCCGCCCATATCACCGTCTGCCATGTCATCCCCACAAACGCTCAGATCAGATATTCTTACGGATGGCGGCGATGCGAACGCTACTTCAAGGCCTCCGCCTCCCTCATTGCAACCCATGAAGAGCTGGGCTGATGTGGCCAAATCTGAAAAGAAACGGCAAGCCACGCAAAAGTAGAGCTTATACGACGAAAATTTGGAACGATAAATGCAAAGAGGAGGAGATATTGGGGTGACGTGGATCATGATACCAAAAAGTTTAGACGCTCATATTGTTTTCAGCGCATAGTTGATACTGTCCAGATTTTACATGGCAGGCTAGGAAATGATGAGCTCCTCATGCTCCGTTTATTATACAAGAAACCTGCGCTTAAATATCAAAGCATTCTACATTCGAACGCCGGAGAATGATGTCGTGACTATACTAGTTACCGAGTAGGTTATTCTTTGCTAGCCCCCCCTTTACCAGCCCATTTCAACAGCCGGTTGCCCTGAGCCCGCACCAACGCATTCCACGCGGGTTCTGTAAATGGGTCGACAGACTTTCCCGTTCCACCCATTTGCTGACGGTCCGTTTGCTTGGCAAGGACTGCGGGGATAGATGCCGTCAGGGGATAAGGGCGGGCTGGAAAAACGTCGACATTCGGCGGTGTACCCAGGTTACGCGAGCTCGGCATGCTTCCAGCCTTCAATGAGCGTTTCTGCAAAGTCTCCGAATCCACAGCATCCTTCCGTCTCAGTTGTATATTCTGCTCTTCAACAACTTGGTGCAGCGCCTCGCCCCGCGCATTCCAATCCCTCCACGTCCTCTCAACCTGCCATTCCCACCATAATCTCGTCAACTGAACACTCCATGAAAAAGAACTCTCGGAAATCTTTTGTCCACCTCCATTGACACCACCAGAACGCTCAGACTCGCCACGCACTCGTTCGGCCTTCATCTGCTTCGCCATGAGTTCATCCCACTGGTCCTCCTGCGCGGCATTCCAGCGCGGTTCCCCGTCTATTTCGACCAGCTTGCGTATCTTGTTGATGAATATGCGCCCCTTTACACCAATCATTTTGGAGAGTGCTCTTGGCTGGGGCTTTTTCAGGCGCAGAAAGGGCTGGCCGTCTGCTGTGGCGGAGACGGACGGAATGCGGTACCTGAAACTATGCGGGATGTAAGTTGGCTTGTAGACTGGGTGCCCGTCATCATGCCCGGCCACCTTTTTGAGAAACGGCTCACGGGGCCGTCGGGCGGTGTCCTTTGGCTTGGAGTGTGACGGGTTAAGGTCGCCGCGACGGCGAAGATGCTCAATGAGCTGGGTGTGCTCCGGGCAACCTGGCTTTTGCGCCGTGAATAAGAGCGATAGGAACTTTGCGCGTTTTGTTAGCCGGCTGACTTGTGTACTGGCGTGAGAAGAGGGCGTTGCAGATTCGGAGTACCTTGTATCCTGCCACCATGGAAGCATACACCAGTCTGTAGCTTGTATATGCCCGATTCCTGACAAAGGCCGTCCTGACGGCACGTGTCATGGCGTCCCTTGCAGGTCTCTGCGCATCTTTCGGCACGTCTATCTTCCTTGTTGACCGCAGGAGAGCCCGATAGAGGGATAGTGCGGCGATGCGATGCCGCGAGTTGCGGGCTGGGATGAAGGGCTGGCGATGCATGGTGACGGGAGTGGTGGGACAGGATGACAGTAGGCTATGGCGGACTGCAGCTCATACGCATGATGACTCGTTGCTTTGGGGAAATTATAGCCAAGTGATTTCTACTTTAGAACATTGAAGGCGTCGGACGCAAGATGAAGTGGTCAATACTGAGGCGGCGGCGTCAAAGGCGTGGTATCTAAATCGAGATTTGAGATTGAGGTTGTCGTTGAACTGGGACCTGCAGGAGAGTGGGCCTAGAGAATGTGAGCATGGCAGGTACCCGAACGGGTAGTTAAAAGTGGGACAGGATCATCCTGACATTTCCCTGAATGGCATCTGCAGGTCCAGCTCCAGCTGTCTGGGCCGACACCACGAATTTGGTTTATGAATATGCCAGAGGAAAAAAGGCGTTACTACAGCAAGCCGGAATCTATTCTGTTTAGATGGGCGGCGCGATTAGATGGCCATGACAATAGACTTGGATAACTATGCCCTTTCATATTAGTTTGTACGCATGTGTATTGACGTGGTATTCACATGTGCGAAGACGATCAGACTAGACGTCTACATATGAATGGGAGTATGCAGTCTCTTGGGCGCGCAAGAGAAGACGATGCGATCTGGCAAAGGGATTTGGCGGTGACGCTACCCACTGCTGGGCTGAATACGACCACAAGCAACGAGCCACGGGCAAAACCAGGTCGATCCAGTCACTGACTACTCCCATACAAGGTGACACAGACAGTTAGTTTGAGGAATTGGGCGATGAATATAGCGAGCGAGTAGGGAGTAGACGAATCTTATCGGCTAGGCACTTTCAGAACGATCTTCGGGCTTTTCCTGTGGCGCGAGCAACCTTAATCGTTCGGCGTTTCCCTCCGTCGCATTGCATCTCATCATACGGAGTGCATGCTGCATTTCCCGCGAGCGGTCAGCACGCACTCAGCCGTACGCCTATTCCCCCCTTTCTCTGCACAGTATTGACATCAGAAGCGGTTCCTCCCGCAAGAGTCGCAGGTCTTCAATCGTGGCTTGCTCACTTGACGCGATTCAGACCGACTGATGCAGCCCCACAATCGGTCTTCGGCATCTTCACGGACACCGCCAGAATTCTAAGTAGCCAGGGACGTCTTGAAAGTCCGAGATGGAATAAGCTTGGGACAAAGTGTGCGGTCCCGATTTTTTGAATTTTTTTTGGGGACAAAATTGCATTGTCTATGCTAAGGCCTTCATGGTCCTTCAATGAGGCCGCTCTTCAGAGGAGAAACCGAAAACTCGGGCGGTTCCCATCAGTAAGCAGGTTTTCAGTGCGGTGTACATCTACGTATAAGCCAAAGTGCTGGCATTACATGCAGCTGCCGAAGGCTCCTTCCCCGCCAAAGTGCGGAGAGGACGTTTGCTATCTCTCTCGGAGCGAGGATTGCCATTTAACGACAACATTGAAGAAACACAAGGCGCAGAGTTGACCATTCCCAGTTGGGCCACCACCTGAGATCACTCCGCAACTTGACTGGCCCAAGCACGCGTGGGAATGATGAGCCAGGTGCCTGAATTTCTGGCGCCATTGTTCAAAATGGTAATGTGGGCATACATCGAGTCTATGCAGCCATTTTGTTGTCTTGGATAATGCGCCACTAGTAGTTGCTTGTCCGCTGTCAAGGTTGTGCCATGTAACCCGCATCGATGGAATCGCTACGGCAGGACCGGACATCGAGGCGGACCAGCAGGGCAGGGGGCGGACTTTCCCTGTGGCACCAGCTTGACACGTTTGTTGTGAAAGGTCCCACGGTGCGCGCTTGCCAAAGCCTACGAGCAAGCACGCAGCTTGGCAGTTCCAGGTTGCCAAGAGCTCTCAATCCTCAATCTCAATTGCAGTCACAAGACAAGTCTTCAGGGGGGGCTCTCAAGTACTCCGTACTCCGTAATTCCCGGCCGTCTTCCCATCTCGAGGCCCCTGCACAGTAGGCTCCGCAAAAAGCGGGAAGTCCCCTTTTCCGAATATCTATCTACTCCGTACTCCGTACTCGTACTACTACTCATATTTCCATGTCCATGTTCTGATTCTCGGGCTCCGCGAGCAAGGCCATTCTCGACCCACGAAATCACTCTGTCGCAAAAGTCGTGTGGTTTGCGCCATCATACCGCGTACGGAGTAGGGCCGTGCCGAACTGAATCATTTAGCTGTCATCATCGCAATCGCTTACTGCCTCAGACCGTAAGCTGACCAGACGTCGACTTTCCAATTTTCCAGCCAGCTGGGCCCATCTCTCGTGGCTCAGTACCCGCCGCCACCACCACCACCACCGTCTCTCACCACATCCCTTTCGCCCCCCTGTCGCGTGCGCCGGCAAGCTCGGGAAGAGGGGCATCGTCGAGCATCATGCATTATCGGGACCCAGAGCCAGAATAAGAATTCTATGTCTCCCCGGCACATCGCTGTTCCATGCACGCTGCCGCAGGACGACGGCGACGCTGCCGAACACCTTCATTCTGATAGAAGCACACTTGATACGGCACTCGCCCGTTTTGCACCCCTCCTTGTCGGGGAGGCCAAAGGGACTCGCCGCTTCGCACGGAGTATTACTAGTACAAAGGACTATTCGCATGTGTGACAGCCTCCCTTGCTGACTGCGTGTACGACCTTCGATTTGCTGTCACCTTGTCTACGGAGTTCGGTCTGGATCCTTACCACCCACGCCGCCTTCCCATGTTGCTCATCTTGACTGACATGCGAGCCTTATCGACACCTGAATCCAACTCTCCTTCTGCTTCTACGCCACGGCATCTCTAGTAACTAGATCCGCCCCTTCAGCGGCTCACCGAAACGCCTCTTTTCGCCCTGGATGCATCGTGGCTGGCCCCTTTGCAGTGTCCGAGATTATCTTCCATAACCCGACTCATCGCCTGGGCAGCTTCCCGTCGGCCCTGCAATTCAATCGCAAGCCCGAACCTTTCCTTCTGTCTATTCTACTTCCATCTGCAGTCGGTCATTACTGCATCACGACGCTCCGTGGGTACCGAATAACACGACTGATTCCCTCCACCCTCACCTACTTCTTCACTCGACGCGACGAACCATCTAGTCACCAGCAACATATCACGAATTCCCATGGCGCCAGTCGCTTTCCGTTAGTTGTGATCAGGAATCAGAATACATTGCAACACCATGTTTCTCCACTCTGGAGCTAGTTTACACGGTCACGAATATTCGATTAAGAGGTCGACGTCTGCGCCAGTACAGCCACCCCGAAGACTGCCAATACTGAAGTCGACCCTCCGACCGCTCGTCTCTCCTTCTGAATCGAGCGAGACGGGCTACTTTGCCTCACCCTACTCTGAAGGCCTACACGCCCCGCTCAGAGCATCGACCGACGAGGCCAACCAACGCCCATCTTTGTTATCACAACAGCGTGCGGCTTCCAATAGCTACACTCGGAAAGACCTTGCTGTTAGATTCCGTGAGCCCGGAATGGACCATATATATACGCCGTCTGCTAGCGAGGATGAAGAATCCATAGCTGGGCCAGAGCCTCTGGACGGTCTCTCCGACTCCCCAGCACGCCGTAAGAAGCGCAGACGATTACTTCGCAAATCGACCAGGTATGCTCTCGCCCAACCAGCACCGCAGCTCCGTACCAAGCAGAGACGACTTCTGCAGATCCGGCCTCGATTACTGTTACAACTCCAAGAAATTGGCGACAGAAGAGCCATTCCTGCCTTTGACCTGATTCCATCTCAACTAGTGGCAGGAACCTTGATAATTCCTAAATTGTCCAAAACATTTCCTCGTATGTTTCACGCAAATGCTGAGCTAAGCCAGAATGATGTTCTGTTAGTTCGTAGCGAAGATTACGCTTCAACATCAGGAATGGCACCAGAAAGATCCGACGATGACAGACGGAGTCTACATGGCAGAGATATTTGCGCTGTCATTAGTGCTTTGCCAGAAGATTCCGAGAACTCAGCGGAGATTGTTCTTGAGGACGGGGTCCCGTGGTATGCTTCACCTATGGCGAATGGCTCATATGAATTCACAAGAACAGATGACGGCGGTGAAATAACCACTGCACGCTGGGTTAGACGGTTTAATGGCTCTACCCGCAATAGTATTGGTTCATTCGAACCGTCGTCTTCAGCGCGATCTAGCGTCCACGATTCCTTGCCTGACTCTAGATGGACGTTCAGCATCATTGACCCTTCTTCGAGGAGGCATCCCATAATGGGTAGCTTGACATCAGAGACGGTCGAGGTGTATGATCACTACACAACTTTGTCAACTTCCAGTGGTCGGTTTCCGCCGACCCGTTCATTCGTGCCGGAAGCGGAAGGTGTCGACCGGAGCCCGTCTCCTGCAGGTTTCAATCCAGAATCGAGAGCGACACTTGAAGTGCTTCCGGAGCAAAAGGCGCTGATGATCGCTACTGCGAGTTGGATTCGACTTCATCAACAAGGTTGGCCCGCCTCTGCGAATCCCAAGTTTGCGAGATCGATCCCATCTCATTGCCGGTCGGCAAGCGCAAACATGTGTTCTACATCACGACGACGAACTTTTCCATCTTACGATGGAGACAGCTCTCGTGCGACGAGCCCAATCAATCTATCGCAGCCGTCAGACAGCCTACATGACCCATCGTTGTCAAAACATCCACATGGAAAATCGATGCCAGCGAGAGCAATGTCTACTGGAAGAGCCTTCATGAAACGAAGGAGTGACCGGATGGAGGGCTTGGCAACAGTATATAGTCAAGAGCCGCCAAGGCCGGTATACGACGCAGAGAAACTAGACACGCTGCCGGAAGAAAAGGTTGGTTGTCTGAGCAGAATTCGCCAGTGGACACACAAATTGTTCCACAGGAGGCGAGACTCGATAAGATGAAGAGGACATACTACGAATCATGTGGACGATAGGAAGACCGGAGCTGCTATTGTATGGTCAAGCTCCTTGTACACATTCATGCATAGCATCTTAGCATTATTGCATACCCAGCTACCTCGGTGGCTTACTCTGTAACATACATAAGCATAACGAAACTCCTGTTCTTGATCCAATAAAGATATCAGACCTAATGGAACGTATTCTTGAGTACTCAAGTACCTAGGTACCTGCCGGTGGTAGAAGCACTGTGCGTGCCCAGCAATTGTCAATGGATAGAAAGTTCATCACCCCGTGCTTTCCACACTCAAATCCTTCGTTGGGCACTACTCAAGTTCAATGTTGGTTGGTCCGGGTGCTCGAGTGCATGTGCCTTTGCCTTTCTTCTTGTTGGCCGGAGAGGTAGTCCACCAAGATGGAGTCTTGGTTCAAGTTTGCAAGCCAAATGCAACTGCAATGCCAACTGCCACAAATAATGGGTCTCGTACGAGCGGTTCAGCGATCCGATAAGTCTGTAGGCCGTGCATGTGGCCGCAGCCCTCACGTAGGAGTGGAGCATTTGCAAACTCTCCGAGCATCTTGGAGGCAGCCACACGCACACGACGCCCGGGGAGGGGCTAAGGTGACAAAACCGGGGCAGTTATTCGATCTTTAGCACGCGGACAGTTGGGAGATTGTATATTTGCGTTCAACTTGGTGTTCTGGTCGCATGTGCATGGTGATTGAAGAAGGGCTCGCCGCTCTTCCAAGAACCGGCCACGCCCGCAGGCTGCCACGAGCTGATGTGGACCCTCCTCTGCCGTCTCATGAGGACTGCCGATACACCCAGGCTTGGGTAGAAACGGGGTCTCGGACATCTTGCATTCGATGTTCAGGTGTTGTTCAGACGATGTACTATGCTCGGTGGCCGCCCAGTTTTACAGAAGCCAACATACATGGGGTCGATATTCGTTAGCAGGCAGCCGTCCTTGTGCGTTGCCTCGCCGCCTACGGGGTAGTTTGATTCTTTCGTCAGCTGGCCATGAATCCCTTTGGCCAACCATAAGCTACAGAGGCTCGAGGATAGTTGCATTGGCTACCTACCTTGGAGTCTCCTGGGATGAATTATTCATAGAACTTGAGAGACAGCTGGAGAATCCAGTATCCACCGCATCGTTGGGTTTCTGGCGGCTACAAATATGTTTGCTCTGCTGCTGTTGTTCTGTGGTGTTTGCTGGTTTGCTCCTTCCTCAGAACGCACAGGCCAGTCTCAGTACATTCTGCGGGAGTACCCACAAGGTCTGGTGATCAACACCCTGATAACATCCATCCAGCCGGTCAACCAGTCAATAGTACATGTAAAATAGGTACGCAGTACAACTTGGCAAGCACCAGACGCTTGCGTCTCCGCGCTACCGCCCCGGAGCAAGCACCAACCTCGAGCTGGCCTTGCCGCTGCCGCCCACTTGGCCCTCCAACTTGGAAGCAGCACGTCCGCCCAGGTTGCTCTGCCCCAACCCAGTCAGATCGGTTCCTGCCCACTAGGTCAACTAGGCTGCTCAACGTAATCGTGGACCGTCGACGCCCGATAACTAGGTTGCGATCTATTCCGTAACCCCATCGCAACAATTGTCGCCGTTCCATGAGCTGTGGCGGGCGAGAAGCATCCTTTTATCCTTCATTCTTCTCAGCACTATTACCACTCCTCCGCAGCATCTACTCCTGACAGACCCTCCGTCCAGTCTGTATCTTGAGCCCTTCGGGTTCTCGTTTGCGCGACGCACCCAGAAGAACAGCGGGTGAAATACATGATGGATGAGAATATCGGGCTGCACCATGAGGGCTCATTGGCAGCCTTGCCCGCCTCATCCGCCGCTCATCTCCTGAGCAATTTTCATCCTTACGAACCCATCTCCCGGGCCACGTCGCCAGGCATCCCTTACCCCAAGGCTGACGAAGACGACAAGAAGCGTTACCGACCCCGGACGTTTGCCTACTTTCAACAACTTCCATTCGACGTCGAAGAGGAACAACAACGCGATGCGGCGCTACAGGGAATTCTGAAACAGCTGTACATTGCCATCAAGGCGGAGGACTTCTCTCCCGGTGCCTTGCATTGGACCAGAGAGCTACAAGCATGGCTTGCCCTCAAGTTCGAGATGACGAGGGAACTTCGAGCCAAGCTCGCCAGGCTCTACTACTCTCTGGCGCTGGCGCCGGGTTTGGATTCAAATACTGCAGATCGCTTTCTGCGCATGGTTCTCACATTAATCAGGTAGGTACCAATGCATCTGACGGCGGTTCCATGGCAACCAGATAGTTTACCCTACCCAGCCTGCGTTACACGAGTTTGATGCTGACACCGAATTCTTCTATCGCAACAGGAAGAATCATTATCTCAAACCAGGTGAAGACCTGACGTTCGATTGGAGACCGATATGGCACGAGGTCAAGGGCATCGTTTTGCCCTCCGAAGGCCCCTCGCTTCAAAGTGGGCGACGACGACCTGCGAAACAACTGTTGAAGCTGTGTACTCACGCTCACACCTATTTCGACCCAAGGGATCGGCCGGCCATGCTCGAAGAATTTCTGCCTTTTTTCAGCATAAACGATATGCCCAATGCATTCATCGTCTTTGGCCTTATAAACACATTCCTTCCTAGCCACCCTGCGCCCGAGAAGGACGTTGCTGCCCAACCACAGGAGTTTCTTCCGACCATCTTCCACCTTTGGTCCATCATGAGTCGATCGAAAGTCGCCGATATATGCTTGATCGATCTATTTTCTCGACTCGCGCGCGATCATGTTCACTGTGGCCACGTTCCATTCGGGGCGCATGGCATCTTCACCAAAGCCCAGTCTGACCTCATCTTCACCTCTATTTTGCGCCTCACGCAAATTCCCGTTGGGCAGGCCAACTCCCCTTACACAGCCCTCGATTATTTGGCAGGCGCAGGGGCTTATCTGGAGAAGGATTCGAAAAAGCATCCCGTGCCTTACATGATGGCCCGACTGATTGTCAGCTCTCTGTCGCCAAGGTGTATGGACCAGGACGACTCGATCATGGCAAGCTTGGAAGGCTTGATGGAATCAATTGACACTTTTTTCCATCCTTCTAACCAAGGCTCGTGGACCAACATGTTGGGCCAACTCACTCTGTACCTCACTGATGCATTCGTGTCGCGGTGGAATCGTGAGCAGAGCGGCGAATTAGAGCTTCCCAAAGAGAGAAGGATAAGCCCTGCATTGAAGAAGCGGTTTGTTGGCTCGCTGAAGGAGGTCACATTCATGGGACTTTTCTCCAAGAGCAATAGGGTGTCTAATTGCTATTACAATGCACTCCAGGGCCTGGCTTACCTTGAACCCGACCTGGTTCTTCCGGGTGCGTTGCAGCGTTTTTACCCCAGTCTCCAAGGGCTAGTCGAGGTCCACAGAACTACCTCTAGTCTCAACAGCTTGCAAATGATTGCAAATGTCATGTCTAAGCTCAAAGGCTATAGATGTCACATCACTGCTTTGCTTGCATTGGCCTTGCCGGGTATCGACGCAAACGATCTCAACAAGACGCAATATACCCTCAACTTCATTCAGAGTGTAGCATATAGCATTCCGTTTGTCGAATTGACAAAAGAAGAAACCCATATTCATGACACTACACTAGCAATGCAATGGGTTCAGGCCGAGATGGACAGGATGGAGCGGGATGGCCAAAACGTGCAGATCGATTACGAAAAAGAGCTTAGTGACGAGGATGAAGCCAACATCTTACGATCCTCGACTGCAGGATTTGGAGAATTCATCTTGACTCTTTTGGGCAAAGTCTTTACACTTCTCGAGAATCTTCCAGATGCAAATCAGGTTCGAGGAGGAACCCCAGAGGATAATGTCGTCAATGCTTTGCCGGCGGCTTTGTCACCGCTTTTCGCATCGCTCTCGCCAGAGCTGTTTGATATGGCTCTCGAAAAGATTGCCACCTTTGTGTCTAGCCACGTGGTTCACCAGGCCCGCGATGCCATGGCGTGGATATTGAATGCGCTCTGCAAAGTCAACCCCGAAAAGACGCTCAAGGTCTTCGTTCCCATGTTTGTTATCAACATTCGCAATGAGATTGACCAGAATCATGCCGCGTCTGATCGTACTACTGGTACCGACTACCTCCCACGTGATAGAGCCTTGGTGTGGCATATAAGCATGCTCGCCATGACAGTAGTGCACGTCGGACGGGAGGTACTGAATTACAAGGATGAGCTGCTTGGAATTGCAGTCTACATGCAAGAGAAGTGCCGCGGGCTGCCCACTATTTTGGTCTCCAACTACATTCATCATCTGCTGCTTAATCTAACCAACACATATCCCATTGACCATGCCCTCCATGAGCCTGATGTTATTAAAAGGGGACTGGACATTGATGACTGGGGTAAAACGACATCGCCCGCCGATCTCACCATTCGATGGCATCAACCATCACCGCCAGAGGTCGAATTTGCCGTCGAGCTATTTGCGTCTCAAACGAAATCTGCGACAGAGCAATTGGAGCTTCTCTTCAGCGACAACCCACCTGTCAGTAGGACAGGGAAAAATAAAGAGTGGTCTGATGAAGTTTCCAGGCTAATGCAGCAGATGCGTCTCGTTATTTCTGGCATGTCCACCATGTTTGATCCCAAGCGCGCCTCGGGCAACGGCAATGAAAAGTTGAGCAATGGCAACGATGGGGACGGCGATGTCGAGATGGGCGAAGATGATGAAAGCCTGGCTGAGGGGGCCGAAGATGAGGAGCTGCGACCACAATTTCGTTACAAAGCCGGGTATTTGCTGAAGTCAGATGACCCCGTGTACGGGCGTATTCATGAGCTCCGTGAACAGCTTGGTCACCTGCTTTCTAAAGCTCATTCATTCCTTAGCGAAAACCAGGAGGATGATGTTATCTGCTCCACCGCATTATGCAACGCATATCGGACCTGGATTACTGATGTTGGGATCGAGCGTTCTGCACACCCACTTGAGCGACATCTTAGGTTGTACAA